TCGGTATCAGGTGGAGCATCACTGTTGGGTGGAGGCCATCGCTACTATGGTGGAGGCCATCGCTACTAGGTGGAGGCCATCGCTATTAGGTGGAGGCCATCGCTAGTAGGTGGAGGCAGTCGCTATCAGGTGGAGCATCACTATTGGGTGGAGGCCATCGCTAGTAGGTGGAGGCCATCGCTAGTAGGTGGAGGCAGTCGCTATCCGGTGGAGCATCACTATTGGGTGGAGGCCATCGCTATTAGGTGGAGGCCATCGCTATCAGGTGGAGACCATCGCTATTAGGTGGAGGCCATCTGTGTATCAAGCCTCTGAGATCAGTGGTGCTTGTGTTCACCGATGTTCACAGGGAATTGTTATGAATTGTTAGGGTTTCTCTTGTCAGGACATGAAGGCTCTTTTTACCCCACCTGAGTTTGAGCTCGCACTTCGACAAGCAAGTCAGCTCAGTGCTGTGTGTGCTGCTTTGATGTATTCCAGCTGCTTGCCCATCATGATGCTTGGTGGCATGTTGAACAAGGAAAGCTAGCGGAAACCCAGAGATAGTCCTGTTAATAAAGTGTCGAGTCCTTGTTTTGCCCAAATTTGTGGAAGACTTGAGCCACCTTCCACCCAAGTGCTTCAACAGGCCAGGTCGTCTTTCAACACCAAATGCTGCCAAAAGTATGGCTTTCGCTTTCCCAACAAGCTTATGCCTGCACGATGTGTTGATTTCTCTTGCCTTGGATCTCGATTTGCGGCGATTCGAGATCTCGCGGATTTCTGCGCTCCCGTCAGGACTCTGATTTTGGCCGTCCGGCTTTTCGCCATGTACTGGACCAGCAAGTTTGAGCTCTTGCGTGGCAGTTCCATTCCGAAGCGCTTCTCTCACGTTTTGGCCTTGTCAGCGAGCCGCTGGGTCCAGGTGTGGCGGTGCCGACGCGTACCACATCGATAGAAAAGCTCAAAGCCGGAAAGCCACAAAAACACCTAGTTTGCCATTGGCATGGACACAGAGCCATTGGGAAAAAAATCCAGAGAAACCTCGAAGATTGTGAGGGCTCAGACATGAATTTGGAGGAGGGTTGGGGACTGATGAGACCACATTTAAAAAAGTATATAACATAAGAGGGGCAGGGCGAGTGTTGGGACAACATCAAGAATCATATGCAGGTGGGAGTCGCCTCCAAGACAAAGGTTCCTGGTATAGAGCTGGTGCGTGGTTGTTCGATGGAACTATGAAAAAGTACTAACGCCTCGGGTTTCTCACAGCCCCGCTGGCTGTTCCGGAGGTGGCCGTGTTCTGTCACAGCGCTGTGGCTGTTTGGGTCTACGGCGACGCGGACCTCACAGGGACCACGCACTTGATGTTTGACACGACCGAAGCCAACACTTATGTGCAAGAAGTGGGCAAACTTCTCGGAAATCAGGTGCCGGGAGCCAGACGCGCGAGCTGCGCGGGAGCCAGCGGAAGTTGGGGGAGCTTGGGGACTGGACCGTATTCCGTTGATCAAACTGGGTCAGCGTTTCTCAAGCTTGTAGCAGAGGTGAAGGTTGGGAATTTTCAATAGTGATGGACGCTTAGATCAGAGAAACAGCCTACATACTATGGTTCGACTCTTTTGTTTGCGCTCCAGTTGTCCATTGTCTTGAAGATCGTGGTGGAAAAAGCAATGACTCCTGCAGCAATGCCCAATGCGGTGATCTTGGCACTCTTTATGTTGATGTGGGGGACCTGAGCTGATTTTTGCCAATGGCACGATGTGTCACGCGACGTGTCATCCATATCGATTCAGTTTGTATTCACTTTGTTTCTCACAACTCAGGTGGGGAATGAAGTTGTTCTCCTTCTTCCTGGGAGATGCGGAATGGCAGCAGCTGAAGTCTGCTGTCCAGAATCTCTTCGCAAAGGCTCGGAAAAAGGGGGGTTCAAGCAAAGGCTCTCACTGTGGGAGATCCTCGTCTTCACTTCCGATGAAAAGGGTTGATCCCTTCGCATCACATGTGTCTCACCTCAAGTGAATACTCGCCTCAGAGCTCGCCTGGACCTGTGACAGTTCATTGGCTCTCGAATCGAGTCACCTGATGGACCAAACAAGTCTCCACTGAAACGGACGGAGGTGATCCCCTGGCGATTGGGTGGATCGCAGAGGAGGAGAGAGCGACAGCTATCCGCTGTTTCACAGCAAGGTATGTGAGGGTATCCGGTATCGATGAAACATACTCCCAGGCAGATTAACAGTTTAACATGGAGCCCAAAACCACCAGAGGAAGATGATCTTTCAGTGAGATGCAGATCACGCACTACCCGAAAAGAATGACTCACAATGAGCATATTGATCTTTTGCAGGTAGGGAATATGCTTCAACAACAGCTTCCACGGTCGAGGCCGATCGTCAAAAACAAGTGTCGAGTGCCGTGGAACGTTCGAGTGATGGCAGGAGCATTTTTGAACGCCGCTTCGATGAAGCTCCGATGCAAGAGATGCTTCGAATGAAGATCAATCCCAGCCCCTTTGCTGAAAAAGAGAAGAAGACACTGAGACAAGACACTTCAGAATTTTGACAAGACATGAGACCTAAAAAATGGTAGGTCCTTGACCATTCCTCCGAAAAGGGGTGAAGCATTTCCATCGTTCAAGGGTGGCGGTCCTGGACTGGTCCAGTCGCTCATCAGACTGTCCAACAAGACCGGGGATGGGTTCTTCCCAGCTGTTCAATCTCGTTCAATGGCTTCAACATGTTTCAACATGTGTTTCAAAAACTACAGGCCACAGGTGTTTCAACCACATGTGCTTCCCTGGCCTTTGGTCCGTCCATGTGGCTAGATGGAGCACCCCGTACAGGCTACGAGCTGTACCGTGCGGAGGGCTTTGAGTTCCTGAAGCCAGGGGATGGGGAGCGCTCGATTCAGGAGATCTTGGCCGAAGCCAAGCGGCAGAAGGAGGAAGAAGCCAAGCAACTGTTGCCGGCCACAAGTGGAGGAAGACTAGGTACGCGGGAAGTTCAGAACCTGTGGTACGTACCAATGTCTACGTCCGGAAACACATGAGGGCGGGTGTAAACTTGAAATCGAACCTGGTGGAGCTTAAACGGCACCAACATACTCTGTATATGTAGACATGTCTGGATCAACACCTGAAAGCGGACCCTCGCTTGGTCGAAGCGTTTTCTGAGGCTTGCTCGAAAGCACACAGTGGATGAGAAGCAACAGTTCCTACCTGTGCAGGTTGTCGGAAATGCCACAGAGACTGAGTAGATAGGACTAGTTGAGTCCCGTCCGCCGTCCTCCAGTGCTGGCATGCTGGCTTGCTGGCCTGGTTAATGTCAGTGCGTCATTCAGGTTTGCCTCTGCCAGTTGTTTTTGGAAGGCTTACAAGATTGTATTTTGACCGACTCCTTGAGATCTTTGTCGTTGTTTGCGAAAAACAAACTTGGAGAAGGCTATGCCTGGAGCGCTTAGGGCTGAAGACAACGTGCCAAGTTCACCAAAGGTGATCTGAGCACCTTTTGCAGTGTTTTATGGTGAATATGCAAAAAGTTCTGGAAGGCAGGAACTTCGAGCTCCATCCTCACAAAAGCAGTATGGGGGCCTCAACAACCAACTTTTCCCGTTTTGACTCCGCAAGTTTTAATGGGAGCTGTAGGCGCAACCTCAACATACATATATACTTTACAGATACTTAGACTTGTATTACATATTAAATGTACTGAAGAACTGCTGAGAGGTCTGGATCGGAGACTGAACTCTTCTTGCAGCCACAGAAGGAGTGGGATGGCAGCCATCATGTTCGATTTCGAAGGCCTTTGTAGTTTCCTTAGTTAGGACTCCCGCTAGGAGCTACACAGCCACCGACCGATCTTCAACGCACGTTTGCAGTTGAGATGTCTTGCATTTTACATGAGTCAAGTTTCCCTAAACATCTATGTGGAACCCAAAACCTACGAATTTGTCGTGTCTGATGGAAAACATTGTGTTTTGGCTCCACTTGACTAAAAACATCCTAGGTCTTCAAACGAGCAGAAATAAGTGCTCAACCTGCGTTTCGTAGCACTTTCTTAAGAATCGAGCACTTTCTGGATAAACGAGCAGTTTCTGTAAAACGCGCAGTTTCTTGTGTATCCCGCGCATTTTTTCAAGGCCGCACTTCGAGCGCAAAATTCCGCACACGAGCGCAAAAAAGCGCACACGAGCGCACTTTGGAAAACTGCACCTGTTTTTGCTTTTCTTCATTTGCAGCTCGAGCACTTTTTCGCAAAACGAGCAGTTTACACCTCGAGCACTTATTTCTGCTCTTTTGAAGATCTAGGATTGTGTTTCTGTCGAAACATCGCTTTTCCAAAAGCACTAAGTTTGGAACCTGTATAAAAACCGTAGAAAACCCATGGAACATTCGTAGAAAACCCGTAGAATCCCGTAGGCAATCGTATCGTTTTGAGGAAGTCAACAAAACTCGTGTTTTCTTTAAAAACCTCGTGTATTTTCGGGGTATGACATTTTTAGGGGTTCTTGGTTCTCTAGGTAGGAACCAAGTCATTAGTGCGAGTGCTTCTTCAAGGAAGCTCCCCCCGCCCTTAGGCAGGGGAGCTTCCTTGAAGCGTGAGCTAGCGTGTGTCCAGTCACTGCTAGCGTGCTTACTCCGTTAAGTAGGTGCTACTTCATTAAGTGAGGAGGGACGGCCACGGGCTAAAAAGAGAAACGCACATAAAAAAGACTGTTGCCTTTAGTGAACATGTCACTTGCTGCTGCTTGAAGCGAGTCGAGTTTGTTGCTTCAGGAGGAGGGGAAGTCCTTGCTTATCATGGTTCACAAAAGCAACTTGGTTGAGCCAAAGAGGTCTGAGACCTTTTGGAAGGATATGACATTCAGGGCCAATAAACAATTGTCAGGAAGGGCATGTTTACACTCGGAATCGGAAGTGGTTGCAAGCGGTTTGCGGAGGAAAATGGTCATCCAGGGGCCATGCCATGCACGTAACCATGATGGTTCCAGGGAGTGCGGAGTGTTTCTCAGAGAGCTTTTTTTTAACGAGCCAAGCGTGCGAAGAGCGATTCCAATGATCGTAATTTGTCCACCAAGACTGCTTCCCGGCCCTTCCCTTGTTCTGCTCAACTGTGGTTGGCTGTCACCTCATCCAGGGCCTGTTCATTTGCTTGGGAAATGCATTGGAAGAGGCCTCTGGATATGAACTTCCTTTCACAAAACGATGTTTCATATGGATTTAAATGGAGTTATCCTTTTAGATCGATACTGTCGGGGAAGCTGATGTCATTCCACGCAAGACTGGTGTCGACAGGACACTCCACAAGGATGCTCCAGGTTTCACCTCTGACTTTATGCATCGAAAGTGTCACTTGAGTGACACGAATGTAAAACAGAATGTACACGAAGAAAAGGCTCCATCCACAGGATGCCTTTGTTTTATGTTCCTCACCAGAGCTTCATGCGCTTGGAGCTCATCACTTAAGCGCCGGTGATTGCATCTGTTTTTTAACTCCGTTTTTGGGGCGTCTCAAGAACCTGACATGGCAACTGAGCTGCCATAAAAGTTCTATTTTTGGATGTTACTATTACTTACTGCTTATATTATGAGAAGTAACGAGAACGATGCACCAAAGATCAAAACGTGGTCTAGGAAGCGACAAAGAGAAGAATCAACACCAATTCTAACCACGGGACAGGTTGGTTAGGACCTAGGAGGTGTAGAGATCAGTGGTTTGTTGCTTTCTTTCAGGTGATTTACCCGACAACAAGATGGAGGCGTCGAGCCCTCAGGATGGCGTGGCCACCACGTGACGGGCGTCGAGGCAAAACGTCGCCGTCCAGACTCGTTGGTGCGATCAGACCGGCTCCGACTAACGCTAGAAGACGAGCCATGCGTTTTAGTGATCAGGAGTGGTTGTTTTGAATGTGTCGTTTTTGTTTTGTCTCTTTTTGGCCAAAGTGTTTCTACTTTTTTTGGGCACATTCGGAGCTCGGAAAAGCTCCAACAGAAAGCTCCAAAGGAAGGAAGATGATGTATTTTTTTTTGTGGGCAAACATGAGTGTTGAGCAATAGCGACATCAGGTGGCAGTGGTTGCTGTGGGCAGTGCTTCTGGGTGGCACTTTCTTCTCTTGTTTGGGCACACCCTTGGCAGTGCCTTGGCTTGAAGAGCAGCACAGATGAAGGCCTTAGTCATGGAGGAGCAGTAAGATGTGAAGCGAAAGATTATGAATATTGCTAAATATTCAAGAGTCTTGGAATTCTCAAGTCTCATTGACATATTTATCACTTGAACATACTTGGACTATTAAGAAATACAACACGCAAATCCTTGGGCACTTTCCGCATCGATTTGATTGGCTGTCTCGTTGCAGAGCGCACAGGTCTTGCCTGTTGGCCCATCGGTGCGCTCCAGTGCCGAGTGGATAAGTGGACAAATGTGAAGCAGAGAGACATCCGTGATCGGTTGATGCAGGAGTCCCAAATAACTTTTGGTGGATTGTCAAGTATGATCTGCTTCGACTCTGTAGATCCGAGGGTTCAAACACGATGAAAGCCCATGAGCTGGCATATTGGAACTCTGTGTCTCGCACACCGCCAGGCCGGACAGGACTTCACCCAGCTTTCTGCTTCGATTGAGAAGGCTTGGGGCTTTTGTATTGGTGATTTCATGTGACCAGAAAGGAAGAACCATTAGACATGTTTGTTGGTCTGTACCCAACGAAGCAATTGCAGAACACGCCTTTGTCGTGTCTTCAGGTTGTGCCAGTTGCTTTTAGCATCTTCGCTGTTCTCGCAGCCCAGGAGACCACAAACATCCACAAACATGCATGTTGTCCATGTCTCCAAACCGCTTGGAATCCCCACACGGCTTTGTGTTCATGGCCTATGATGGCATATGGCATATGCCACTGACTGCCCTTCAAGAAAAAGTCAAAACATATTGCTGTGATTGTGATGCATTTGGATCCAGACTATATGAAGGACTCAATAGAATGCAGTGAAAGCCTTGACATGCCAAAGCGATGACACCTTAGCACGATTCCTTGAGGAGTCTGCCCGACGCGCGGTGGCATCTAAGTATGGGCAAAGCTGCACTGCTTAGAGATTTAGCAGGAAAACACATCTCAAATCTGCTGGTAGTGGTAACCTGGTAGCAATTGAAAACGATCATTCTTCATTTGTGCAACGTCTCGCAAGTTCTGTTTTTTGAAGAGATGGGATGCATCTTTGGCTCTGCTGCCTCTTTGCCCACTTTGCTGCCAGGGTGGAGCTAACGCCACCCTACTTGATCCCTGCCATTCCTTTGGGGTGCGCCCGCAGGGTTCTAGCGCCACACTTCGTACAGAATCGAAAGAATCTGTGAACATCTAATTAGTTGCCCTCTTCTTGCAATAGCTTTAACCATAGAAATTTCAACGTCACTGAAATAGAATTTAGGAGACCCACGTATTCAGATTCGAAGACCTCTCCCCAGATCCAGATAGACATCTGGCAGGTCTGTGGGCTGCTTGGGTGTGGTGAGCCGGCGCATGTCGACGGCACCCAACCGGGAGGCCACTCCCAATCCGGTCGAAGTCGAAAGGTGTTCGATTCCAGAAAGTGAACGATTGCCATGGAGGGGGTTCTCATGAACTCGACAGGTCGTTTGCAGCTCGTTGGCTTTGGTCGACTTGGTACGAGGAGGGATGTGGGGGTTCTGAATAGTAGCGTCATCCCGATGTCATCATGCAGCCGTTGCAGCTGAAATCGATGGTTGACCAACCACCCGAGAGAGGGAGTTGCTGTCAAAAGATCCAGAACTTGGAAGAAGAAGAAGAAGAAGAAGAAGAACAAACATAGTGAAATCGTGCCAAATACAAGTACATCATATCATAGACATATTACCAACCAGATGCTCAGAAAACGGAAGATGGCGGTGGGAGGTGATCCAGTGTTTCAACCAATTGATATGTTTAGCTTTGCAGTATGGTGCTGCTACAAAAGGTTAGTCAAGCTATACGTCCACACAGATTCGTTGGACCCTTCCCAAGGTTGAGTCACAAAGACACAAAGTCCCAAGAGGATTTGTTGTACCTCAAAGGCATTTTTCACCGACTGAGCAGGCATGGAATTGTTCTCCTGTAAGATCTGTAAGACCTCGCGCTTCGCCGTGCTCGCAGTCGGAAGTGAATATGTCCTTGGCGGCTCCCATCGCGGGGTTGGCCGCCGCAAGCTAAGCTGACACAGCCGAAGGTGCAGCCAAGAGGTGACAGATGCATCCGAAATCGGGTCGAAACCAAGATTCAATCATCATGAACCTCTGTACTCAGTCGAAACCAATGCAACGAGGAGTTTCTTTGGATTCACCTTTCAGACCCAAAGATCCCACCGACCTCAGGCCTTTTCCGGTCGATCCAAATCGATCGAAACGAAGCCGCTGGGGGATCCCAAAAAGTCAGGTCGCCATCGGACTCATCATCGCTGGGCTGACCTTCGGTCCTGAAGCGGACTGGGATTTATTTCGCAGTTGACGTGGGGATAGGACCAGTGTGCACTGAAGACACTTGAAGTGCAGAGTCTTGGGTTTTGATACTAGGACCAGTGATTACATTCCAGGAACTCACACTGAAAAGTGTGTTCGTTCGCTACATGAACACATGCCCACCAAGAGACTATGCTGCCAACCACTGGATCATGAGAACATACACATGCACATCGTGATCGCTAGAGCGTCACCTGTAATGCTGGAGCATCAAACAATGTGATACGTCTCGCAGCATTGCAGCATTTTCCCTGGAAGGTGCCAAGATGAATTCCAACTGGACCCACCTCTGAAGCAAGAAGCACGGCTGAGCACGTGCACACAAATGAAAGAATTTCTCCTTTGAAGCCGAGCAATCTCTCAACCCCCAAGAGTGCCATTAGATGTGAGAATTCGGCTCCTTTTGTCGGGTCATCAACCTCGGGTGGGGCCGGCCAAACGGACTTTTGGATCCATGTTAAGTCCGAAAGTCACGAACATCGAAGGCATTTTCAAGCCGGATCCAAGCCCCCTTGCGGTGGAAGTGCACGCCATGGGCGGCAGCACTTCGCAGCCGGTAGATTTGCCAGCCTTGCCACAGCAACGCATTGTCAGTGTGCGGGATGGACAGGTGAGGTGACACATCTCAAGACCGGTGTCCGCTGTGAAGCCGCCTGATGAGCCAGGGTGAAACATTGAAAGGGATGCTTAATGGAGGTTAGCGGTGCCCAGAACATCCACTGACTTAGACATTAAACACCGACCCCTTTTGTAACTCCTGGTCTATGACTTTGTTTCGTGGTTGGTGACCTAGGAATATCGCTAGGACCGGCCAAGGTGAGGTCATCGACGTATGTTGACAACATAAGCTTAGTGTCTGGAAACCAAAAGTTTCCAGGGTACTCATTTCCGTGACATGACCTTAGGCTTTCTCAGATGCTTTTTTAGAGAAACGCCGAGTGATCCAATCAGTCGAGCTCAGCACTCATCCAGACGTTCTGTTTCCCAGGCGGAGACGGTGACTGCAGCAGGGCAGCCACAAATCGGCACCACCCAGCAGGTGAGGAGATTGGCAAAGAATCCTGAGGTCTTTGGGGGGGCAAAACCTTGAAAGGATGCTGTCATGGGAATTACCTCTTTTTTGACCTTTGTTTTGTTGTTCTTTTGGTATATTATTGCTCTCCCCATTGTCAGTTTGGTGGATCGTCTGACAACCCATCAACAATAACGCCATCATTTGCCTGAATTAGGTCCGGGGAAGGCATGTGAAGTCGTTTCAGCCAGAGACTCTGCTTGAGAAGACTTTCTAAGTCCTTCTGAAGTCGTGGCAGTAGTGGAAAGTTGATTTAAACAACAGCACGCACTTCGGAATGGAATTATGGCGGCATTTGATCCGATCTTGTCGAGAGTTCGATTGCGCAGGCGGTGGCTGTTCGCCCCAGCCTCTCTCTCCACCGCGGTGCTTTGCGCGTTGAGGGGAAGAAGCTCTCGATCGAGATTATCGTTTCGTGGCGATCAGGGGTCGACAGCTTTGGACAAGACGCCTCAAGAAGTAAGAAGTATACATCTTAATATCAATAGCTACCCAGTCAAAGACCATAAAAATATTATTTAGGTGACCCAAACATGAATTTTCTTTACCCCGGTCGGTCAAAATATGTCAAAGTATAGTCTTTGGACTTCTAGGGGCTATATTAACATTAAGACCTCAGCATTTGAAGCTGGGGTCTAGAGGCAAACTCAAAGCGGCAAATCACGAACTGGAGAACATGGAAGAGATTCCATAAAATAATCCCGAGAATCCCCATTTCCATGGATTTTTCCGAGGCCAATGAATCTGGGCATGTGGAGCTGATGTTGCCAGGGCAGGAGACCCGAGGTCGTTTAGACTGGCCCACGGTGTCGGCGACGCCGAAGGCTCATGTCCAAAGGCGACGATGGAGACTGGAGGGCCCTAGTTGGGGGGGGAAGAACTGAAGATGAACTGAAGATATATTATGGACTTGATGTCTTTTCATGGTAAGAAGGACGAAAGCTCGGGGACATGGCGTGGTAATTGAAACTCTTTACATCCAACATATTCCAAAATTAATGATGTCCACAGCTTTTGTTTGCTGGATCGCAGCTGCTTTTTGCCATGGGTGATGCAGGGTAGCATGGGTCCGGACGTCACAATTCACCGATTGCAGGTGTAGCATCTCTGCAGCTGCAGAGTCCCAGACCGTCAGCTTCGATTGTCCTAAGAGCCACCTGGAGCGGTCTTCATGAGTCGATTCCAAGGCCCTGGAAGACTCCCACAGGCTCCCCACCACCCCGACATTCGACATGAGAACTGGATGACACAAAGGAGATGGCTGTACTTGATTCGTGATGTTTCGTAGCAGGGGGGGGCGCAGCAGGATGCCAAGAATTCCACGGATCTGAGCGAGGGAATCTTGCTTAAGCCCCTAGTAGCTTCTTGTTACTAGTAGTCAGAATGCTCCTAATAGCGATGCCAGGAGTCCCTAGTAGCGTCCTTGCTACTAGTTGTAAGGTCAGGAGCCCCGTTCGTAGCTTCTTGTTACATGGCCCATCATAACCCCATCGTGGTCCTGACCCTCGCCCCTTGAGACCTCGGGGCAAGATCCAGTCAAGTCACTCGAATGAGAAGCTCTTTGTTGAAGATGTCCTGGAATTGCTGACGAATTTGGTCAACCACAAAGATCTCTCATGAATTGGTTGAGTCTTCCCAAACGCACCTTCTCAGGTCTCGAAAGCTTGATGGTCAGCCATTCTGGAGGCCAGCATGGTTGGTGCTTGGTTGGTACGGCTCATCCACCACAGCACACGGTTATTTCCTTTTACATGTCCATCGGACACAAGGCCCTGCCGTGTGCGCTTCTCTTGTTGATTGACTTGAAAACTTCAGAAAGCTCCTAGTAGTAAGGCCAAGAGCCCCTAGTAGCGTCCTTGCTCCTAGTAGTAAGCCCAGGAGCCCCTAGTAGCTTCTTGTTCCTAGTAGCGATGCCAGGAGCCCCTAGTAGCATCCTTGCTCCTAGTAGCTCTTTTGCTTTCCAAAGAGCCATACGAGCGATCGTCGAATCCCCGCTTCATCCGTGCCCAGGCTCGACGTCCTGGCCTGCGGTGTTGGTCTTAAGACCTGGCGCTGATCGCAGGGACCTGGCGGAGGATCCACCGGATGGCACCATGTTGGCCTTTTGCGTCTCGGATGGAAGCGCTCCAAGCAGGTGAGAAATTAGTATAAAACTCCGCCATGTAAATTAGTATTCGCATGTCCTTTTTTCGAATATAAGCATGCTCAATGCTCAATCCCCTGTAAAACGATAAGGAATAAAGAAAACGATAACCCCCGATGACTCTTGTGGAACATGTTGACATGCAAGAAGTGGTGTGAAGAAAACGCGTGCACACACACAAACAGATAACCTACTACATTGTCAGGGTCAATGCATGACTGCTCTTGGTGGGTGTGTGCTTGGACAGAGGTGGGAGGGCTTGGACCGCTACAGCATTGTTGTGCCACATGGTTTTCCAACTTTCACCAAACATGAAAACGATAACAAAAACGGTAACACAGCGAGCCTAAAACACCTTTCCGTAGGCAGGCCACCACATGAATGTAGTTGGAATGAAGTGTGCCTAATGTCTTCATGCCTGCAAGGTTCCACACACCACATGCATGTAGTGCACACACTACATGAAACTACAGTTGTTGCAGTTAGTCAACGTGCTGTAAAACGATAAGGAAGAAACAAACACAATAACGTCAAAAGTGGTATAGGGAAAGGTAGAGGGTTTTCTACACAACCTCATGTAGGAATGGTAGGAACTGGTGGGGTGGACAATCTGCTTCGATCTAAGGTCAAGTGCAGGCAAGACCCGTGGAACGAGAAACGCAGCCGTTGCCTATATGGCCAGGAGCCCCTAGTAGCGTCTTGCTCCAAATAGCGATGCCAGGAGCCCCTAGTAGCGTCCTTGCTCCTAGTAGTATGCTTTGTTTCACCTTCCAGATTTGGACGTCGGGTTGTAGAGCACATGTCATGGTGCCAGGCCAAAAGCCTGGCTGTCGTACGTCAGATTATTGCTTGGGGAGGCGGTGTTCTCCGCGGGGGGCCTGGCGGGATTCAGCAATTTGATGAAATTTGGGAATCATTTGAGATCGGTTTGGCATAGTTTGGGCATTGTGCTGCACACCAATTGAGTACCAAAGTACATGTTTAGTTTGGGTCGTATTTGACAGTTCTACCGATTGCGCAGTGGAGGGGTGAGGAATCGATCCAGAAACTTCTAAGCAATTCTAAGCAGCTGCGAGTTTGTTCCTGCAGGGAATGGAGCAGCCTTTGAGATGAAAGACATGTTTGGTTTGCAGGACTGGCCGTAAATGGAGGAAGACTTCAAGCATGTAGGTGTTACACGCGGTGATGGTCATACTCTAATTATATAATATGTCAAATATCATTTGAGTTATTTGCTTTGGTTGGACTTACTGCACCTCATGAGTCAGCGTTCCACCTTCCAAACGCACCCCTGAGGATGCCAAGGCCAGCGAAGACAACAGCTCTCAGCGGAACTGCGTGATTTGTTGGGGGACCCAACACGTATGAGCATCGCTTAATACGCAGGCAGCATCTGGTTTTTACCGCAACCCATGATGCAAGAGCACCACGGTAGTTTTCCCAGAACCAGAAACTTTGACCTCACATCACAAGTCCCTTGTCCGGAATTTTGAGAGGAAGACTTGGCTAAATTATGCTGAATTCCTTGAGTGGTGGAAGCAGAGAGGATTTGGTGGGTGCTATAACAGTTAAGTGAATTACAACAACAGGGACACCATGCCGGCTTGACAATATCCTGCTCACAACCTGAAGCACCTGCCCAAAGAATGACCATGTGCATCACGAATCACTGGCCCGCTAAGGTTTGAGTCAGCCGCGCGACACGGCCCTGCTACCTTGCAGCCATTTTTGCGTTTGCTACGCCGCTGGCTGAGCTTTGTGCAAGCAAAGCTTCAGTGACTCCGCACGGAGTTCCTGATTCCCAAGACCAACACTCTTTTTCTGACAGAGTCTGGCACACTTATTGACTAAGGATTGTGGGCTATCCATTCGGCTCAACCCTTCTCGCTCCAAGTGCCCCTTGTGCCGTACAGATGTCCAGGCCGCGCCGTCGGCCATCTGTGGAGAGTGGACATTGAGCGACCAGCTGGCAAACAATTAATACATATATAAGTGTTAATAACTGTGATAAAAATTGCTAATTGATGTGTATTACTTTTTCCCTCACTTACCATATTCCAATATAATATATCTCCCAGAAGCAGAAGCAGAATCAAACAACCCACCAGACATGGCTTGGCTTTGAGGCCATTAGACCATATTAGACCATGCTAACTTTCCATTGATGCCAGGACCTTGTTCGGATTGAGGGCAAGGGCCCGGAAGCGACGTGAAGAATCCAAATCCACCGCCCGGAAGCCGCCTTTTTCCACCGCCGAAGGGCTGAAACCAGGTGGCCAAAGCCGTGAAAAGAGGACCGGAGGCCATCGCTACTAGGAGCAAGGACGCTACTAGGGGCTCCTGGCCTTACTACTAGGAACAAGAAGCTATTAGTAGCTAGAAGCTATTAGGTTGGAGGCCATCGCTAGTAGGTTGGAGGCCGTCGCTTCCGCCGAGCTTGGAATTGACTTGGATGAGTTGCCAAGCTTTGGTAACTGTAATGATTTAAGTACGTTTATATTAAATTGCATAGACATTGTTTGTGATTCGCTCATCCTCAATCTTTGTGCTCAAGGCATTCACATGCCAGGTGGGTTTTAGTAATTCTTCTGCTCTGAGGCCATCAAATATGATGGCCACAAAGGAGCTTCAGATTCAGTTGGAGAAGAGGTTGCAGAAGCAGAACGAGGAGTTCACTAGTCCGATGCGGCGTTTGCATGGTATCAAAAATTTGAATCTACCTCCTCGCTCGGGCACGACTTTGGCTCCGATTCGCATCGCTTCGCCCTACCCCTCGACAGAGCCCTCCCCACGCGACGCAGAGCACCCGATCTGGAAGCGGATCCGGGCAGCGGAGAAGCAGCGCGATGAGGTGCTTTTGTTAGTTTGGTCCGGGTAAGGGAAAATGAAAACAAATTGCTATAGAGAGAGCTTTTAGGGATTTTGGAACAATGGATGCTGACCAGAAGATATTGGATGCTGACTAAAAAGAAAGTATATATAAGCAATAATCATTAGAATAAAACCCTTTTTGATTAATGGGGGAAGTTTCTGCCAAGGAAATTGTTTATTAGGGTGATGGAATTGTGGAATTCAGGTTTTAAATTCGTTTAGTATTGGGGGCTCGCAGCTGGGCTTGATTAATAGGGGGGAGGTTACCTCATCCTTTATTAACATAAACGTTGGACGGGAGTTAATAAGGTGTTTAAGGCCGCTGTACCCATGGTCCCGCTGCCCCACCTCCACCAGGCGCTGCGGCAGCTCCGGGAGATCGAGCACAGCTCGGCGAAGACGGGGTGCGAGGCAGCTGCTGAGATCGTGCGCCTGCGGATGAAGACACAGGACGGACAGCAATGGACGAGTCGCAGTGGACGATCGAAAGTGACTCTAGTGGACGGCGAGCATAAAAGGAAGCATCATAGGACAACAAGTTGAATCATCGTAGGCAAGGATAGTCTGGACGTGGTGTGGTGTGATAGTTGAACATTTTCGACAGAGTGATGCTGGATGAATTGGGTTGTGTTCGGTAACATGCAATAGTGACTTAAGATGGTGCAGCCATGCCGTGGTTTTCACGGGTGGGAAGGACTGCTTTCACAGATCTGCAGGACATGAAACGAGAGGTGAACACGGCCAAGGAGGAGGTGCATGTGCTCCGAAGGACGCGGACGCAGGATATGCTGCGGCAACGAAGCGCTGAGGAGGCACACGAGAGATTGAGCTATGCCTCGGAGTGTGCCATGAAGCAAAAGCTGGAGCTGGAGGCCCGTGGTTAGACATCTACCAACGGCCTGGAAAACGACATGAAAACGAGATGAGTCCACAGTAAAGAACAGGTGAATGCACACAGAACATCAGGAATCAGTATAAGGATAAGGGTGTTTGATGATAGACATTTCTATTTCGTAGTGACACCGACGGTCTTGAGGCTGAAGTCCTCCGGGCCAAGGAGGAAAAGCGGCAGTTAGCTGAACAGGTGGAAAAGCTGGAGTCGGCAGTCACCCAGCACATCCGTACGAAGGTGGAATTGCAAGAGAGGCTGATGAAAAGCCGCGAATGTGAAGTGAACTTGCGTGAAGAGTTGAAGAATCGCAAGTCTGAGTTGGCCATGAAAACCTTCTCCTTACACACGGATGATGATGCTGATGATACAGATGATCGTGATTTGGATGATTTAGAGTTCAGTTACGATGGTCTGGATCTCTGCAATTTGATGCCCTTTGATCGAGCCTTCCGTCTAGCCAGCTCAGGGCGGCACAAACCGGTAGAGCTAGAGCCGGCAGAGCCCGAGCTAGATGACCAGCAGTTCCAGGAGGCCGTCGAGTCCTTGGAAAAAGTCATTCTCGAGTTCACTCGTTCTCTTGAAGCGGAGGAGGCTGAGAAGGCGAAGACCTCACCGGCCTCGACGGCACCTGTCACACCGGTTGCACAGCCCATTGCGCCCGAGTCGGAGACCGAACACCGAGTGGAGACCATTGAGGCTGAAGAAGCCACGCCGAAGTCGCCGAAGTCACCCCCGCGGGTTCTCTCGGGCTTTGCTTTCATGTCTCCTTATGCTTCCTTGTACAAATACATGTGACACGACTCATGTCACCTGATCAAACAAGCTGCGTGAAGCAGGCAGCGTGAGGCTGCAACACTTCACACATTCGGCATCGCTGTTCGGGCTTTGGCCATCCACCGTACGGATGGGTGGTCCCAAAAGGGACAGACATTCAGAAAATGCCGTGCATCGAAAAGAAGACCAGCGACCGACAAGCCTTTAACATCCTTTAACTAATCATGTTCAAAAACTGCTGTAAGACCATGTAAAACCCATAAAGCAGAGCAGAGACCATGATCGGCATTCAACACTCTGATACCGGCCCAAGTGACGAAGCAACATTAAGGGTGCTAGGATGTGCTAGGCAGCTTGTGAGTCTTTAGTCTCAAGTAATATATAGATATAGGTAAATGAGCTTGCCACAGCAACTGCAACAACCCGCTGCACAGCTACAAAATACAAGAGTCGTGCGATTATCCCGCTGGCCTATCATGACGGATATTGAAGATCTCGCAACTCTTGCCGCACAGTCGCTTGTCCTTCAAGATTTCCCCTGGTCATCCCACCACGACGGACAGCATATATAAGAAGACCCCGCCACTACCCTCAGTCTCCAACAAGCACAAGTTTCACTTGAAGACTGAAGACCTGTCCTTGCTCCTAGTAGCGATGCCCTTTGTTACTGACCTGGCTGACTTGCGAAGTTCTCCATTCTCCGAGCTTGAGGTTTGATCACCGGAATGTTCGCGCTCCAAGTTCTTTGGAAGAGGTGGTTAGCTCTGGAAACTGCATGGGGCCTCTGCCTCAGCTAAAGCAAAAAGTACTGGAATTGGGAAAACAACGCACTTGTTACTAATGTTGGCGATGCACTTGTGACTGCCTTTGGCTTCGGCGATGTTTCCGGTCTTTGGCCGAGGTGTGGCCTTTGCGAAAGCATCGCCGGCTCCGAGTTCCTGGAAATGAAGGACGCATCGGTCGTCTCGTTCGTCTCGAACGTCGAGCGTCGAGCGAAGCGAAGCAGGTCTTGCCACCGAAGCAGCGAATGAGACCAGTCTTCCACAAGGTTCGATAATGCGGAGACGGGACATGCGTGAGACAGGAGAGGATTGTGAGACTTTCCCGGACTCTTCCTGCAAAAAAGCCATGGTGTTCATCAGTTATAAGAATGTTATAAGATCCCCTTTTGATAGATCGTTTAGTGCTCTCAGGTGTTGGGCCAGCGTTTGTTCCCCGCTTTGGTGAATCGCCTTTGGAGGCCTTGACACCAGAGATTGCAGCCAAGGCTTTGGCCGCATGTCCAGGCGCCCAGGCCGGCGATTTCAAGGAGAACCTCGGAGACCTGACGATCAGAGTGTCATCCATGTGCTGTTTTAGAAATCCCTAAGGCCCTAAAGACTTGCAGCAGCATAAATGATTCACTGATACTATTCCGTATAAATATCTATTGTACCTTTGCCGACGTTTTCGTTACATAGGCCGTGATGAGTCCATTGTGTGACGAAGTCATTCTGCAAAAAGACATGTGCACATGTGTAGCTTAAGCACTTCGCGTGTTCCTCCGACATCCGCAGGTGGGTGGCATACCAGGCACGCGAGCAAGCTCGCCATACCAAGCGAGTGGCGAAGTTGCGGTTCGCGCCCGGACAGGTTGGACACCTTCCACCGGGTTAGAAGCCTTTGTCGGAAAGGCTGGGCAAACAGCGCTGTGCCACTGGCCGATTTTAGATCCTCATAGATCCTCAGATGGTCATAGACATTCATAGACTTTTTGGGTGCTTAGCCGGCAGTGAGAGCCTTGGAACAGTATCAGTATGCGGTTGTATGCGTGTGAGTGTGCATACTCCTTGAAGTAAACATTATGGGTTTTAGAGAATCTATTTAGAAACTTCTACATCACCCGCAGTGATGTTCTTGGATTTAGCCGTCCTCAGTCTCGAGCTGATCTTCGCTTCAGGTGGTCTCCATTCAAAAGGGCTATGCTTCTGATCCAGAGACTCGCCCCCTGGCTGCCTACAAGCGGTTGGCCACCGCTGGGCTAGCCATGCTGGGCACACTCCTTGGAAATTCGCAGCAAATCCGCTAGATAAATCTACTATATATCATAGATGGCCTTTTAACATTGGTTGGTTGGTTGGTTGGTTAATACGCTTAATAGAGGGGATACCCCCAATTGTACAAGCAATGGGTATATATGGTGCCAAACCGACCCCTCTATTACTCCAATCATTGATCTATCTAACTATCTACAGGTAATATCAAGGCGCCTGCACTTCTTCACACCCATGAGGCCCTCATGTGTGGCCCTCATGTGTCATCGAAGAGGAGGTCCATGAGGCACCAGGTTCAGTCCAGATCATGTTGTTGTCCAATGGCCGGATGACCACTTGAAGGCTCTTCCTAATTGAATCTATTTGGGGTATAAGATGGTATAAGTACGTACTAACCCACGTGATATCACGTGATCCTTCAAGCAGTATGTTGATCTCATCGCCCAGGCTTCAAGGCGGCAGCTGCCGGCGGGCTCACGACTCTGGCGTCGCATTTGATCGACTCCAAGCAGGTGCGAAGTGCGGTGGTGGATTCAAATCCGACATCTTTGAGAGTGGTTTGTCGACAATCCTCCAAAAACTGTTGAAGCCTCATGAAGCTTCCGATGTATTTAAGAGCTGTCATTTAATTTGTTTGACTTGGATCATGGATCTCTGCAGCTGTAGGCTTGAAATACCTGAATGCACCGGCTTGGCCACGGCTCTCCTTGCCTGACTTGGCTCAGTCTCAGAACAGCTCGAGTCCCACGAGCCAGTGCCGACTTGTCGCAGATGCCGACGGGACCCTTTGCCTCCAGTGTTGGCATAGGGCGGGCTGAACCCGAATGGGCTGCCTTAAACAGAGTCCAGGAGACCGTGGGAAAGGATCCAATCTTCCAAGCAGGTGAAGCATCGGAAGCCCCTTTGCAGCTTGATGGGGCGATTTTGAGTGGGGACCTCTCAACAGTCGGGTCTTGTGACCTTTTGATTGTTGGGGCTGGCTTGTCAGGTGCCGTGCTGGCGGAGCGATGTAGCAGAGAGCTAGGCATGAGCTCACTGATCTTAGACAAGCGAGACCACATCGGGGGCAATTGCTATGACTATGTCGACGAACATGGAATTCGATGCTCCAAATACGGAGCACATCTCTTTCACACGCAATTTGAGCGAGTGTGGGACTATGTCTTGCAGTTCTCCGAGTGGATCCCCTTCGACCACCGGGTGAAAGGCTTGGTCCCAGACCAAGATGGCGTCAAGAAGTTGGTGCCAATTCCACCCACGCAGGAGTCCGTGAACACCTTGTTTGGGGAAAGGATTCAGACGGAGGAGGAGATGCAGGCATGGTATGACAAGGAGCGAATACCACCTCCAAGTGGGGATCCAAAGAATGGAGAGGAAGCAGCTTTGTCTCGTGTTGGACCCAGATTATTTGAGAAAGTCTTCAAACACTACACCAAGAAGCAATGGGACAAGTATCCAGCAGAGCTTGATGCTAGCGTTCTCCTTCGTCTTCCATGCCGAACATCAACAGATGATCGCTACTTTCCAGATCCTTGGCAAGCGTTGCCTATGCGTGGTTACACACGCATTTTCGAGAACATGTTGCTGAATGATCCGAATATCACAATTCGGCTGAATTGTGATTTCTTCAAGCTCAAAGAAGCAGGATCACTTCCATCGCACAAGCTTCTCGTCTACACCGGGCAGATTGATAGCTACTATGCAGCCTTGGGAATGCCCAAATTAGAATATCGTTCACTCAGATTTGAGGAGGAATTTCTTCAAGAGCCCGAAGATGGGTTCTTTCAGGAGGCCATGGTGGTGAATCATCCCTCTCCTGATGTGTCCTTTACTCGAATTGTCGAGTACAAGCACATTCCAAACCAGCCTACTGCGGTGAAGGAAGGGAAGGTCAGAGGTACCCTGATCGCGAGGGAATACTCCTCAGCTGAGGGGGAGCCATATTATCCAGTGCCAAACCCTGCGAACAGGGAGCTTTATGAGAAGTATGCAGCATTGGCTGCAAAGGAGGAGGGGGTGGCCTTTGTGGGCCGCTTGGCTTCTTACAAGTACTTTAATATGGACCAGGCGATTTTGAATGCCTTGGAGATGTTTGACAACTTGAAGGAGACCGGCAAGTTGGAGCCCAAGCGGAAGCCTGAAGACTTTGGACCAGGTGACGGTCCCAAATGATGCCCACCCGGTGAATCAAAAAAACGCGAAGAAAATGCCAATGAAACGGTTTCACCAGATGTGAAGCGATTCAGGTTGAGAAATGCTAGATTGATGCCGGATCAGTCTTTGCAGTAGATCGCTTGTTGAATGCCCTTCACATGTTTTGCATAGTTTTGCGCCTTGACAATGTCAAGGGATCAAACACCGCGCAAGAACAGCTCCTGAGAGTTCAGAAGCTGCAGATTTGTGCAAGCACCCGAGGAAAAGGAGACTGGCTTGTGCGGAAGGACACGGCTTAGTAAGAAAGGGCCTGCCCAATATCTCATTCGCACATATTCGCACGTGAGCATGAAGCAGTTTGTTTGAGAGAGAGAGAGAGAGCATGCAAAGAGTCACATGCATTTCTTGTTTTCCGCGTGTCCCGCGTTTGCAGGTGGATTTCGTGGTCCATGTGAAGGCCTGTGCTCTCTACAGCGATGTCTCCACCCAGGGCTCCAAGCTCAGCTTCAGCAGCGCAGAGGTGCACCACGCGCGATGCAGACGGACTGATGCTGGACCGTCCTGGACCAGTCGCGCAGCCCCGTTCGTAGCGTCCGAACGCTCCTAGTAAGGCCAGGAGCTTGTGCCTAGTAGCGATGACAGGAGCCCCTAGTAGCTTCTTGCCACACCGCGTTTGGTGATCCCTTTGCTACCAGACGATCATGGAAAGAACGCCGGCATGGCCGTTGCCGCAGGTCTTCGAGGGCAAAGGCTCACGATATGGACCCGTCGCACCGTTGAAATCCTTGGAGGACGCGATCGGGTTCAATGGAATTTAGATGAATTTGCACCTGACCTGACGACATATTTACCAAAAGACTCCTAGACTGCAATGTTCGCTACTAGTCACAAAGGGCATCGCTGGCGAATAAGGAGCGATCGGACGCTACGAACGGAACAACCTGGCCTTGGCAAACGAACGGAGCGATGGGCATCGCTAGGAACCAAACATCGGTGGACGACCTTATCCAGGAACCGGTAGTGGCACCGACCTGGCTCGTGACCGATGTGCCAGGATGCCTTAAAGCTAAACCGCCCCTTTGCTGTCGTGGCAAAGCCCTGTGACATCAACGCGGTGCGCCACTGGGCAACCGTGCTCTCTTGTCTTGTGCAACGTGTTGTTGGTGATGTCGTTAGATCTATCAGGGACACTGGTTTTCTCACAAAGCGCGTGTAGGTGACAACATGTGTACTGTATGACTCTAGGTGACACACAGACTTTTGACAATGACAATCTGCTACGAAGCCCTGCAACACAAATTCTATCAAATTCTCATCAGATAACTCACGCTTGTTTGGCCATCTCCACGGCTCTTAGCAGCCGCCCGAAAGCTTATAGTAATAAGATGTAATAAGTACAGACTATATAATGCTATTTTTCAATTATCCATGGTCTGCACATGCTCAGCAGCAGCCAATTTTGTTCCACGTGAACCCTCCAGTTGTTTTTGAAGATTGCCCTCAGAGTCGTTCATCCAAGGCAACATGGCAAAGGTCGATGCTCGAGTGGACCAGCTTTGCAAGTGTTTGATGACACTGTCCTGCGGAACCTATGCTGACAATGCTCCTGAGCGGGTGAAGCTAATTGAACTTGGCTCGTTTTGCTGGGCAAAAGTTCTGCACAGAAAGATCAGAAAGGAAGACGTGAGGTGACTGAAGCCACTAGTAGCGAGGGCCTCCAACCTAATCACGAAAGCTAGCACCAGCTAGCTGGAGTTGTTCTTGCTTTAGCAAGTGAGGGGCTGGAATCCTCGAGAGTGCCGCATCGCGTGAAAACTTCATATGTAGGGGGCGGGGTTCAACTGCTCCCTGAGACATCTCTGGGACGTGTGTATTTCCGCCGGCATAGTGGGCCGACTGTCACCCGCTTCCCGCCCTAGCTTTCGTCACCAACCTTCGGCCTCTAACTTGCGAAGAGAAAATGATCCAAACCATTCTAAACCTCTGGGTATCTCTGGGTATCTTGGACCTGCCGTTGATCGACCTGAGGTTTGCTTGGACAAGTTCCTGACTCACCATGACATGAAGCATTCTGAGGTTGAGGACGACAACCAACTTACTGGACATGGAAGACGAATGAGAGCAAGTCAGCAAGTCGTTGGTTTGCTTCAACATTCTAGGTTCTGGTAGGTATGCTGATTTAAAAATGCAGCCAAGAGCTGTCCTGCGTCCTACCTAGAAGCGTCCTACTTAATGTAATAGCTACATATAGCTACTATAGCTATAACTCTTCCTCACCAACAAGACTGAAAACAAAAGAAGTGAATTCCTTGTGCCTCCAGTGGATGTACTTTTTGCAAACATGAAGAATTCCCTGTCCATCTTCAGGAGTTCCGATGGCGCGGCCATGGCTGCCCGGGCGATTGTCCCTACGTCCGAACCAGTGATGGCCGTGCTTGGGCAGAACCGTATTGAGAGTCTGAGTGATGCACGTTCAAATATGTTCAACATGTTTCAAACATAATCCCCAAATCAAAATGACGGGAGATGTGGGCGGTTGACTTGTTTCAGAGATTTAGGATTTATATATTGACTTGCTCTTCGAACAAGAGTACTCCCGGAAGTGCCTCAGCTAGCCACCAGAATAGCCAAAACAACCTGTGCTTTAGTCCCCAGTTTTGGAGGCACGTTTTTCGCCACATCAGCTACACACCCTTGTACGCCAATGAGGTGAAGCTGCCTATGATTATGTCGACTTTTGGTTCGAGAACGGCAAGGAATCAGGCCCGTTGACATATCAGCCGGGGTCTTAGTCCAAGCACAAACACAAGCACAAGCACTAATGAATGAGGCTTGAAAGTAGCCAAGGCCCTAGTAACATTCTTGCTCCTAATAGCGATGCCCTTTGCTCCTAGTAGTACGGCCAGGAGCCCCGATCGTAGCGTCCGATCGCTCCTAGTAGCCAAGGGTTCATGAAACGCAGGTGCTGGGTCGAAAGATTCCAGACAAGGCCTGAAGGATTGTGATTCATTTGTTTAACCCCCTTGGCCGGCTGGTATCTTTGGCTGGTTGGGGCGCGTTGTTGATCAAAACCCTTCGTTTGTTAAAAAACGAGCTGCCCTGGAATCAAGCCTGTCCCTTTTTTTTCCCGGTTGGTGGCTCTCCTGACGGGCGGCAGGCTGGGGTCTAGTTGTTTCCCAAAGGATTCGAGACGCTCTTCAAATTTGATGGCTCCAAAGCCGGCACAACAACTGTCATTGCTCGTTAGCTGTCATCTAGATTGGCAACAACTAGATGAGAGGACCAGAGTGCAAAGCAGAAATGCAACATGTGTACGTAGAAAGCTTAAGAATGCTTTTGATGGAACCTTCGGAACTGTGACTGTTGGACACACATTTACTATCCTGCAATCCTTGATTGTAACATATTGTAACTGTCGTACGCCTGGATCTTGCCTAGTTTGTCAGCGTTCCACCAGCTTTGCCGCCATGCATAAGATTGGTCACGGTGGTACTCACTTGACCAGTTGGGCACAAGAGCTTCACAATGTCACCTTGGAGACTTGGAGTAGAATGGTAATGAATATGATTTTCAGTTTTGCTGTTCAGTTGTTTTGTTCTTTTTGAAGTGGTTGAACAACTGACACAAGAAGTTTGAATTGCTTTATGATCACATGAAGTTCTCCTGACCTAGACTTGGCCCTCTAGACTCATGCAATTGTTCTACACCTCAACTCTTTGTCGTGAGAATAGCATGTTCAGCCCCGTGTCGTGGGGGTGACACGTCTGAGCATGCAGAATCTGTGGACCTATCCGGTCTCAGGATGGACAGGTGGACAGTCTTAGCTTTTCACCAGACCACACTTGCTTGGCAGCAGCTGGAGGCTTTGCCTAACAAGCTTCAAATGTTTGCTCATCCTAGAGTAGACGAGTTGTCCTGTTGCTGGGGGGTTGTCAGGAAATAGGTTCACACTGCCTATCCGAATATCCAGGATAGGTTCTGACATGTCACATCAAATCCTAACCTGCTACACAGCAAATTACAGAATGAGTTTATAAATTAGCAGTTTGAGTAAAGAACAACTAAAGTCAAAGTCACTAAAGTCACATACGTATAACAGATATAATTGAATGACCCCTTACCACTATGAACACGAGGGTTGTTGAGAGGTGTGCTACCCTGGACTTACTACCCCTTACTACTGACGCTGCTGACTTCAATTGAGAAGCGGTTTGTGTTCAAAGCTCCTCCAACACCCTTCAGGCGGCTCCATCTACTTCTTCTCATCGCAGTTGGAGCAGCAAAAGGTCATCCCGGACGCACATGGCGGAGCGCCCGTGCGGTGCGTGGCCTTTGCCGGACGACAACTGCTGAGCGCAGGCGCTGATGGCAAAGTTCTTGTTTGGGAAATGAGTGGAGTTACTTGGCAGGAAGAATTGGATCTCTAACTTTTGCTTGATTCAATTTTTGAGACAGGGGGGAGCAATGCGAGTCAAAAGAAGCCCTCAAATGGCCCAAGCACTGACTGAGTGGACAACATGGCATGGACGTTGTTTGTCTTACAATTTTTGTAGCTTGATGCCACGATGTCCTGCCACTCTGCCATCCAAAGAGCACGTCTTCCGCGTTCACTGAGGAACAGACAGCGGTCTTGGAACATGACGTAGATGTTCTGGCAGTTGCCGGAACCGCCAATGGTCTGATCGCAAGCTCAGCAGCCGATGGCGCTGTGCGACTCTGGCGAAACGGTGCAGTGGAGCAAACACTTCTTGGACACGAAGCTCCTGTGTCTTGGAGCTTCACGGCTGGGCGTGGGAACCCGCTTATGGCGCCCTTTTCGGGTCCATATTTGGTAGGACTTTTCAAGAGGATGTGACGTGGCGAACTCTTTTTGTTGGGCCGCTCCCCCCGTGGGAATCGATTCACCTGTAGTAACAATAAGGCTTTCTAGTAACTAGAAGCTTCCTTGGGAATCGTTTCCCGGTTGTGAAGCCCGGTTGTGGTTGCCCACGTGGGCGAAGAGTCAGCAATTTCATTGATTCTTGCATAGATGGAATGTTTGATAACCATGAAGAGCCACAACTCAACAATGTATATAGCAAAGTTTTGCGTAGGGTTTTGGATTGTTTGGTGTGGAGACTGGCAGGCTTTCCTTCCGTTTGCCAGACTTCATTCTAGAATCAGCTCATGTTAATTGATTTGTCTCTTCTGAAGATTGAGAAGTCACCAGTGCATAGTGATTTCAACTTGATGATCTGAACTTCAAGTCATGGAACCACCAGTTTCGACGGACTTCCACTGACTTCTTCGTCTCTAACCACCTGTGTCTCTTAGTAATGGCATCCAACCTAAGAGCGATGGCCTTTGCTCCTAGTAGCTTCTTGTTCCTAGTAGCGATGCCAGGAGCCTAGTAGCGAAGCCTCCGATCGCTCCGTTCGGTTCGCTTCTGCGTCTCCAGGTCCACGCCGTGAGCTTCTCTCGGGACGCTTCGATGCTCGTCTCCGCCTCGGCGGATCACACCGCACGCGTCTGGGCCACGGAACGCGGCGCTCCGCTGGCGCTGCTGCGAGGCCATCGGGACGAGGTGCGCGCAGCGTGCTTCGGTGCCCGGCGCTCGGTGGCTTGGGTGAAGGCTGTGTGAAGGGAGGTGTTGGAACGGAGTGGTGGAGGGACTCAACTTGGAGATTGAGATTGGGGAAAAAGATGTGTTGGACATAATGAAGCAAGGGGTCCAAGTTTTGATGCCTAAATCAAGTCACATGCCAACAAAGCAAAGTTGATTCTGGTCAGTTACACAAGACCTTGAAGATCCTTGCAAAGTTTGAAGGAGTCGAGTGTGCTCAGCAGAAACGCGCTGAAGAAGTCTTTACATTCACGACCCATGCAGCACATGCAGAACGAATCAGTGGTATCGGCTTTAGCTTTGCAACATCTCAGGCATCTTTGGTAGTCACCGGATCCTTGGATGGTACAGCTTTGATTTGGCAGCTGCCATCGCCCGGGGATGCTCTTGAAGTAACTCCCCTCCACGTCCCTTGGCAGAGATCAACGCTGTTCAAACAATGGGTCCAAACTGGGGGACCTTGGTTGACCACCCAAAATGAACAGTAGATGACTACCGGACATAGTCAACCTACCCTCGTGACCGGGGGGCTTTGGGTGCTATGACCTACAGCCAGATCTGTCGCCAGCCCAGAAACTCGGTATGCCGACCACCGCAGCGTTGAGGCCTTTTTTGTTCTTCCACGTGAAAAGCTATGAAAAGCTGGAACTCCCACAGTGTGCAACCATGCGGCCGTACGGTATATGATATGTCATTTCCGGATGATCGCATGTTCTTCATTCTTCCACGTGCTACGCAACGCCTCCCTGACTTCTCCAGGCTTGCAAGGCCCACGCTGCTGGGATCACCAGCCTGGCCATTGGAGAGAATGGCCAGACACTTTGCACTGCCTCCATGGACAAGTCGGTGAAGTGCCTGGCTGGAACACAGATGCCGTGTGTGAAGTTAGTTCTAAGGGATTTCAGGTGGAGTTTAGATCGATGGGTATTTTCACAGTTTTCCCAGATTCAGGGCCTGCGGGCCTTGTAAGAAGGTGGGAACGATTGTACCAGAATGGAACCACCAAGCCCAAGTTGAAGGAATTCCCAGCTGCAATCATTTGTCACAGGGGCACCAAAAGGGATGGAAAACGCGTCCACCATAAACGTGAAACCGACCGAGGTCGGAACATGGGATCTGGATTTGGGTGGTAACACCAGGACCAAGCATCACCACTTCCCACTCAAAAACCTTCCACCTTTTCAGCCTCAAGAAGCTACTAGAAACAAGTGCATCGCTTCTAGTAACAAGTGCCTTACTAGTAGTAACAAGAAGCTATTAATTTAGTTTAAATTTAATTCTAATAGCTTCTTTGTTACTAGTAGTAAGGCACCTGTTACTACTAGCGTGGCACCTGTTACTACGAGGCTTTGGACCATGCACGACTTCCGCTTCGCGCGGACGCTGCCCGGCGGTGCGGCCGTCCACGCGGTGGTCATCTCGTCGGCGGGCGCTGCGCGGGTCGCCGCGGCGTGCGGCGGTCGTGGTGGGCGTGGCACATTGCGGGTCTTTGGGATTGTCCCACGTGGACGAGAGAGTGGAATGTTCACCTAAGAGGTGAAGGGAATGGAGTGAAGTGGGGACGGCAACAGTTGAAGTTGGTGGCTTCAACTTCAAGATGAGCTTCATGAGTAATCTAGAAGCATTTTCCTGAGCACTCCACATTGTGGAGTCAGGCAAGAGGGGACCTAGTGCTCTTTAGCTACCTCCAGTTTTTGGCAGATGAAGATGCTAAAGACCACATCAGAAGCTGGATGAGCCAGCCATGGTTTATTATTACCCTGGATGGGAAAAGCTGACGCTTTGGGAGCTTAAGAAGTTCCGTCACCTGCTGAGTTGCTGCTGGGTGCTTTGCGAATCTCCCAGCTGAGTACGGTGCTTCGCTTCGGTTGAACCCTGCTGACGCTCCCAAAAGGCGGCGACACTCGAGCGACGCTCATCCGCCGCGTCAGACAAAAAGAGGTCCGAAATGTGCATCAGCCAGTCTGTGCAAGTCGTAAATGTGGTGGCACACTACGGCAGAAAGATGCAGAAAAAAGCAGAGCATGTTGAACAAAGCAACCGTTACACGTCCGGTCGATGCGGACTCTATATATGTTTGCATCAAAACGTGTGTTACTGTTGAGGTGGCGCTGCAAGATGTGCTCGGACTTCATCGGTTGGCTCCTGAGAAATGGGTTGGGCCACTTGCTTTGGGGATGCTCGTTTGACTTCCTGAACAAACCATGCCATCCCCTCGGTTCTCACATGCAGGTTTACATGATGCCTTGGGGTGGGCAATGGCAGATGCCAACACCAGCCATTTTGCTACACATGTCCTTCAACATCGCAAGCCCTCTCCGAAATTGTGCTTCTGCACTGGTTTGTTCAACAGTCTCAGGCTGGTTACTTCTCAATGTGAGGATTGGTCAGTTTGTGTTTCCCCCCCCAAAACACCGGCATTACCGGTCCAAAGCCCCCACACCAACGGGACACCGTTGGTTCGGTCGAGGTTACCAGGCGGACGTGGTGGTCATGGATTGTTGGCCGAAGGGCGCCCCGGAGCGGCGGAAGGAGATCACCGACGCGCGGAAGCACGAATGGGACGGCTGGGTCGCTTGGCATCCACGGGATGTCGGTGGATGGTGTGGGGGGGGGGTTCATCCAGCTAGTTGACAAAGCATAATTAAGCGGGAGACCTTCCTTTGAGCATAATTAAACCTCGAAGCCTTTGTTTTTGTTTGTTTAGGGCCAGGGTGCGCATATTGGAACTGCAAGACAGGAAAAGCACAAGCACTGTATCTAGAGTGAACTTCTTGCTTGGTCGTTCCAAAGGTCTGATCAAATTTCCCTGAACCCAATCACACAGAATCTCAAGGCGATTTCTTTGCTCACGTTTCAGCGCCGAGCGCAGACAGTTGCTACCTTGCGTGCTGTCGCAACAAGGTACTTGTCATCGCCCGCAGCGAGCGTGGCCAAGCAGTGGTGGACTCTGCTAAGGTGGGATGCAACAGTCCAGACATGTCCAGACGCAAGAACGTCCAGTATCCCGAGTGCAGCGAAGACGCGTCGTGCTCGTTTTTGTTTGGCATGTAGTCATGTAAAATACATGATTTTTCAGAGTCATAAAGCACTCCTGGTTTAGTGGCAGCATCGGAACAAATGGAAGAATCGCTTGTAGTTCTATCAGGTGTGGAACATGACAGAGATCAGAACCAATCATTCTAAATAACAGAGGCAGCGTCAGAACTGCGTTGCAAGAACTGCTTGATCCAGGACGCCGGTGTTTTGACTCTGGGTCCAGCAGAGGGTCGCGAAGTGCTAGAGACTCAGCCACTTGGCTGCCAGGTCTTCCGCATGTTTGATGTTCGTTGCCAATGAGCTTTCAGCACAGAGAAAATAGATAAGTAGAACTTCTACCGCTATGGTGTGGCCAGGGAGCCCGCTTGAACCTGTCAACTTCCATGACAGTGGTCACTAGTCCGTGCTGTTGACTCGTTTTATGGCAGTTTCTAATTGTCAATTCTTTGCTATGGAAGTATCCTGCAGGACCTCTCAGGTGTGTATTGCGTTTATGATGACATGATGACTCTCTACTGTTTGATCCTCAACTCCACGGTCGGAATCCAACCCTGAACTTCACGACCGGTGCTGAAACAGTGTTGCTGTTTCGAGAGCATGGGCACCCACCCTTGTCAAGTTACAAGTCTTGCTCAAGCATATTCATATTCCCTCCATGGTTCGGGTAGTGTCAGCAGCGGGCCCTGTAGACGGACAAATAGACGGAAATAGCCCAAAGAAGCTCAGAAGAAAACACAAATTAATCCATACTTAGTGCATAGCCGCTGACACGACTTTTTGCCGTCTTGCACTGAAGTTGGTGCTTCCAGCCATGCGACCTTCATCGCCTATGGCATGTAGCCACCACCCCGGGTGGGAGGTGGGAGAAACCAAAAGGGGGCCTCTGGGGCCAAGAGCTACAGCGCAGCGTGATGCGACAAGCTCAAAGTATCGGTTGTAAAAACCTCCAACTTAGTGCATAGCCGCTGACACGACTTTTTGCCGTCTTGCACTGAAGTTGGTGCTTCCAGCCATGCGACCTTCATCGCCTATGGCATGTAGCCACCACCCCACTCCACTGCTCCGGCTGCGTGCCAGCCCTGTCACCATCTAGGTGTAGTGCACGTGCTGGTCCACGTTGGCCATCTTCCGAGCCAGTCCTGACAGGACATCGCCCGAATCGTGGAGGTAGCGCTGCACCGCTGATGAGGTCCATCTTCCTGTTCTCTTCACGACCTCGATCTCGCCCGTCGCCTGATAGAGCGCTGAGGCCCCACCGATCCGGAGCGAATGGGACTGGAACCGCTCCGCCGGCAAGCCGAGGGCTCGAGCGGCCCGCTGCAGCAGGTTCTGCACCTCCAGGCGCTTGATGACCGGGCCTGATGCCCATCGGAACAACGGCAAGTGGCTCTCCGGCCCTCGCCCGAACCGCCTTGGCGCCACCTCTCGAAGACGATGTAGAGCCGTGACCGCGCAAACGAACTCAACCTCCGTCTTCAACATCGTCTTGCACGTCCCGAAGGCCTCCTGGTCCGCTTTCGTTTTGCGGAATTGTAGCGTCACCTCCTGAGGGTCGCTCTCATCTGCTTGGCCTCGAGTCGTGAGGGAGACATCCTGGCCTCTGACGATCATCTCCTGGTCAACTCCACTCGAATCCGAGAACTCTCTGGCGCGGAGCATAAAGAACCAGGCCGTGACCACTGCCGCGTTGACCATCCTGCAGTCCACCTTCAGCTCGCCCATCGCTTCCGCACCCGCGGCCATCTGCTTACCCAGCCACTTGATCATCTGCACGGTGACACCTAGCCGTCGCGGCCTCTTCACCGAATTCTTCTCCAGCGAGTTGAGGACGATCCACAGCCGATGCATCTTCACTGTCGTGTCTCCGTGGCCGGCTCTTTTATGTGCGTCTTTGATGGCGAAGACTGCTTGCTTCATAGTGGCCACCGAAGTTCCCAGCCAACCAAGGTAGCCCAGGTAGCCGAGGACCTTATTCTCGTTGTGGATCGGGTCGCCGTTGTGGTCGAGGTAGGGGGTCAGCCACCCTTGGCGACGGCTCCAGTCACACCACTTGCTCCATGCAGTGGCATAGGCCTTCTGCGTGCTCGCGGCCTTGTCGCCTACCAGGTGCGCTTCGAGCCATTCCTCCACCTGCGCCTGGACCTCCATGTCGGGGTTGAAGTCGGGGTTGAGGTCGATGAACTTGGCCCCAGTTTCCTCAACCGGTTTCACCTCCTTCTTCCGACGACCTCCGCATCTTCTATCTTCGCTGCCCCCGAACCCATTGTCACAAACATCGATGGCCTCGAGCCACAGCGCCTCGCCCCAGAACCACACCTGCTGGGTGCCTTCCTTCCCGCCACCGGCTTTGCGGTCTGGTAGGGCTCGTCCGAAGTCCCCACGCCGCCACTTTCTCAGCCACTGTAACAAAATGCCCAGGGACTTGTAATCCTCGAAGTCGGCGCACATTCCCGCCTTGCCTTCCTTGCTCTCTTTGGCGAGCTCCGCGGCAGTGCTGATCAGGCTCAAAGCCGTCCGGCGACCCGTCGCCCTGCAACCCTCCTTCTCGGCCTCCTTCTCCCCGACCTTCTTCACCAGGTCGTTCCATTCATCTAAGCGTCTGCCCTGTAGGACCCAAATCTCCTCACCGGCAAGACTTCTCACCTTGCCCACCGGGGCTGCTTTATCCTGCACCAGGATCCGCTGCATGCCCTTCTCGGTCTGGTCAAAAAGGGGCCACCGGCATGGTCCACTGAGTGAATAGACATTTTGTCTGTCTTCCTCCTTTCCAACCCATGCATGAGCAGCGACGACCGGCAACATGACTTCTTGGCCAACGTTGACCGCCGTCTCATACTTCCGAACCGGGATGCAGTTGCCTTCGTGGAACTTCTTCAAATAGGAACCCATCGCCGGCGGGGTGACAGACTTCACCATCAGGAACTCGACGTCTTCCTTCGACCGCTCGATGGGGATTACAAAGCCGACGGTCCGTCGTCTCACCATGGCCTCCCCAAGCTCCGAGGTCAGAAACTCCTGGAGCGTGCAGCTCCACCCGACACTTCTTGCCCAATGCTCCAAGCCCGTCCATTTCACCTCCATCGGGCCCTCCAACACCGCGACATCGAAGACCTCACTGTCGAGATAGGCGGCAAACTCCTTCACTTTCCTTCCCTTGGGGTCGGGACCGATGGTAGCAGCTATCACCCGGTAGCTAGGGTCTTGTCCACCGCCCGAAAAGTACTCAAAGTCCTTAACGAAGCGCTGGCCCGGGGTCCACTCGATCACCTCTACCTCCTTCAACTCTGCAGGTTGCCGTAGGACCGCTCTGAAAACTCGTAGTTCCCGCAGCCGCATCAACTCAAACCTGTCTTCCTGATCTGCCCAGGAGAGGAAACACAACCCAAAGCGTTCCGTGTCCTCGAGTGCGTGATGGATGCTCTCTTTGATGTCCACCCTCTCCCAGCCCTTCCTCTCCATGAGCTCGGTGGCCTCCTTCTCCTCCAAGCGGGTCAGCGCGTCTGCATCCTCGTTGTGGAAGGTCCTCCACCAGCCCCCTAGGATGCGGCACCGGTGGCGCTTCTCTACCAAGTTCAGCACCCGGATCAGCAGCCTTCCCGCACGGACCCCGCTCTTACGCCCGGTGATCCAGAAATAGACCACCTTGTTGTCCCCGGCATACACCACCACGCGGCCTTCCCACAGGTGTCCCACCTTACAGGCGAAGGCCACGAAGCTCAACATCTCCCCGAGGTGAATGGCGAGCTTGCCGTCCTCGTGCCCCTCAGCCTCAGTGACCTGCTTGATCCACGGCTTCAAGAGCTCAACCTCCTCTCGGCACGCAAGCCGGTTGGTCCAATCGATGGCCGCGACAACAGTTGGAGTAGCATCAGAGGAAACGAAGACCGGACCGCCTCCTTGTTGTCCTGGTAGTGCCAGCCGCTCCAACGGGGGTAGCAGCTCTCTGATGTCTCCGCCAAACTTCGTGGCCCAGGTCTCGGATCTCGCACACAACCATCGGCAGTCTTCGAACAGCTCCCATAGTGCTTCCCAGCTCTGCGCCCTGGCCCGGGAACCCTCTTGCTGGACCAGCTTCGGCTGCACCGCCGCACCACCATCGATGCCTCCCAGGAACACGTCAGCGCTGCGAAGCTCATTCTTGAGACCAGAGACCACGATGCTCCAACCATTGGCAATCCCTCGAAACCTCTGCAACTCCTTGAGCGGGAGGTCCTTCTCCCCATAATTGAAGCACGACTGAGCGAGCAGGTAGGCCCCCTTGAGGATGCGCGCTTCTGGCAAGGACATTCTCTCAGCATCCGCGTCGATGATCAAACCCCACACCGTTTGCTGATTACTGTAGCAGCCCTCCTCAGCGTCCTTGAGCTTGTTGATGGCCTTCTCACCCAGCAGCTTCGTGACCGCCCATTCATAGACCTCACTGGAGACCCATGGCCGTAAACCCATCACCGGTTCCACCAAGACCATGTCATCAACCAGGATTTTCCCGCAAAAGTGCAGCTCGCCATCTCTCCGGCTCTCCACAGGGCGAAGGCTTCGATGGACCTCTTCCGTAGCCCGTCCCCATGCTGTCCATTCTCCCGGCAATCCCGAGAACCCAAAGCTGGACACCAAGTAGATCACCGTGAGGTCCCCCAGACCGTTGAGCCCTGCCTCGAGTTCTCCTGATCCCATCAGCTCTGGCTTCCATGGGACGTCACCTGCGAACAGCTCCACATCTCGTGGGTCGACCCACAGCAGTCGAAAAGCCCCGGCTACATCCTTCTTGGCCAGGACCACCTTGATGCCCGGGTACCTTGCCTTCAACCATAGAATGCGCCTCGCAATCTGCTCATGAGTCGGCTGTGATGCCGGGGGGTGAAGATCCTTGTGGGTTCCCCCGTTGACTTGGCGCTGATCATGCACCAAGCGAGCTTCAGTTGACAGGGATCGATTGGGCAACATCTTGGGCACCAGCTCGAAGGGTGACGACACCGTGTGCTTCAGGGCCGCATGGCTTGCAGAGGCGACCAGGACTCGATGCTTGGCGATGTCCTTCATCAGCTGCACGTAGACCTGACCCATATCTGCCCTTGCCCGCGGGTGTGGCCGGGTTGTGACCCTTTCTCGTTGCCCTTGATACCGTGCCGGCATTCCTTGGGCCCGAACCTCCCTGAGGTAGGCTAGATGGTCCGGGTGCAGCAGCTCCGTCAACTCCTCATCGTCCGCTCCTTGGAGATTGTTGCGCCCAAGGTGCTCCCTGGCCACCCAC